AAGGCTGTCCAGGCCTACACGAGATGAGGCAGGATAAAGAGGGATAATCCCCCTCGATCCCAAATCATTGAGGCCAATTTCTAGCCATAGAATAATGGCGGCGAGTCGCTCTACGCAGGCCACAAACAATAATAAACTTTAGTACCCCAGCAAAGTACTCAAAGACAATGAAACACACTAGACTATCAGACTTGAAGTGTTCCAAAACCAAATGCAAAACGAACTCAAGGATCACTTGTTTAGTTCAACCAAATTACACTTGGAGAGAAAAAAAATTGTTACCTGTTGTTATTTCTATAGGTGGAAATGGTAAAAGGGCTTATAATAAACATCAAAAAATAAATGCGTGAGCAGGAGCGGCGGAGGGTTGATTTGGGGGGTTGAAGTTATGAAAAACTGTATCATTGGGATTTCTGGCGAAAGTTGACGTCAAACAAAAAAGTATCCAATACAAAAGTTGTAGATCATGCAAAAATCTACAACTTTTGTAGAAGTCACTTTTCAACATGACCTCAAAATTTCCGAGAAAAATGTGAAAAACAGTTTTTTTTCTGATTTTTCGTTTTATATTTCTCATTTCCGCAAAAATAATTTAATTTTGACGAATCTTGGCGAGAGTATACCTTTCTCTGTCTTAAATAACCTGAAATTTTTTTAGATAAAAAAATCAAGAAGTTTCTGAGATATTCATTTTTTTCGGCCCGACACTTTTTTTCAAAGAAAAATTTTACTTAAAAGATCTTCGTATAGTGTTCTGCTGGTACTAATTTTTTTCGTTTTGACATACTTTTTGGTGAAATAAAAAAATCTGTAATAACTTTTCAAAAACATGCTCAAAAATGCAAAAAAATGAAAAATGACTTGCAACAATGAATTTTTCAGTTAATGTCGATAATTTGTTTAAATTAAAAAACATTCAAAAACTGATTACACGATTCAATTCTACGGAAAAAAAAATAAAGAAAAAACTGTGTCATTTTGTTTGACCCACAACTTTTTTTTTGTACAGTACTACTATAAACATCTAAGTCGAATTACAAATGCACAAATAATAAATTATTTCAGGATGATTTGAGATTTCAGCAATATACATAAAGTATTAACTGCATAGTCTACTGTTGACGCGAAATCCGAAATTTTGCAAAATCGTTTAATTTTTTTTTTGGCTATTTGAAAACGAATTTTAAATAAATTGCATATTTACATTGCCACTTTTTTCGCTCTATCCAATGGCGTCAACATTTTTGCATTCCCACGTTTTGTCTTCGACGGGTCATCATCAGATTAATTTTTTTAAATATATCGCTGCTATTTTTATGACAAAATCTAGTCATTTTTAATTCTGTATTAGATGATATTACTATTGTAATCGCTTAAAAAGATTTTTAGCTATCATTAAAAATTTTTCCCGAGTACGGCTCTGAACGCTTTCAAAATACCTGTATCTATTGGAGGAAAGAGAAAGGAAAGAATAAAAGTCAATACAGCACAAAATATCCAACAATTTTTGTAATCCATAATTTAAAAAGTTGTACCTAATAAAAAAATAATACGAATTTATGAAATATTTTATTATTTCTAATTAGTATTGCTAACAGTAGTAAAAAATTGTTGGATATTTTGTGCGGTATTGACTTTTATACAGTTATGACTTCATGCAATAGATATTTTGAAAGCGTTCAGAGCCGTACTCAAGAAAAATGTTAAATTATAGCTAAAACAAGCTAAAAAGTTTTTAAGCAATTAAAATAGTAATATCCACTAATTCAAAATTAAAAATGACTAGATTTTGTCATAAAAATAGCAGCGACGTATTTAAAAAAATTAACCCGATGATGGCCCCTCGAAGACGAAACGTCGGATCGCAAAAATGTTGTCGCCATTGTATAGAGCGAGATCGTTGTAAATATGTAATTTATTTTAAAATTCGTTTTCAAATAAAGTCAGAAAAAACAATTTGGCAAAATTTCGGGTTTTCCGGATGTCTCCGGAACTACCCGGAATTTTAAAATTTTCTAAAAGCATATTGTTAGGTATAAAAAAACAACTTTTTTCTAATCTGAGCCACCCCGTATCTTTTACCGTTTCCTAGATCCTAATGCTATCCCATTCTTATCTTGGACACGCTGTATATCTGTGAATTCATCAAATTTGAAAAAAAAATAAGTACACTAATCGATCTTACGGAAAAAAAATTTATTTTATTTATTCACTATTCGACTTATGTTTATAGCAATACAGTATAAAAATAGTTTTGGGTCAAACAATGAGGTTTTTTTTTCCGTAGAACTGAATGGTGTAATCAGTTTAATTCTGAATGTTTTTTAATTTAAACAAATTATCAACAATAACTGAAAAATTCAATGTTGCAAGTCATTTTTTACGTTTTTGCATTTTTGAGCTTGTTTTTGAGCTGTGATTACAATTTTTTTTATTTCACCAAAGAGTATGTCAAAACGAAAAAAATGAATATCTCAGAAACTTCTTGATTTTTTTATTTAAAAAAATTTGTTATTTGAGATAGAGAAATGTATACTTTCACCAAGTTTCATCAAAATTAAATAATTTTTGCGGAAATGAGAAATAAAAACGAAAAATCAGAAAAAAACTGTTTTTGCATTTTTCTCGAAAATTTTGAGGTTATGTTAAAAAGTGACCTATAAAAATTTGTATTGGATACTTTTTTGTTTGACGTCAACTTTTGCCAGAAATCCCAATGATACAATTTTTCATAACTTTTCAACCCCCCAAATCAACCCTCCGCAGCCCCTGCTCACGCATTTATTTTTTTTTTTTTCGTTTATCATAAGTTCCTTTACCGTTTCCACTTATAAAAGTCCAACAATTTTCTTTTTTTTCCTCTAAATGAGTTTATTTTGATCTGTCTATTGACTCGACACTCTTCAAAACAAGCCTAATAACCAAAACACAAACTTTTAAACTAAATCAAGTGAAGTACCCAAGTTTCCTGTTAGTAATCTGTGCCCAAGTGCGTCTTAGGACCTAGAATAGAGCTGGACCATTATCTTGAAGCAAGCCCCAATCTTGTCATCAATGAAGGAAGAGTGACGCCCTCGATGTTTCATGTAGGGTCCAATGCGTTTGACGTGAAGAGACGTTCGAATCTTGAAACTCCCTTAACGGCGAATGATTGTCCTCCCAGTACCGCAGGTAAAAATGGAATCAGCTCTAGTCGCTCCATCCGACCCCATGATAAGGGTTCCTATAAGGGTTAGCAACCCTATAACGATCATGCTGAAGGATAATGATGATAGGCATAATATCCCTGGAATCAATCAAAGTTCACAGCTAGCCAGACCAGTCAACAATATTACATGACAGAATAATTTTAAAAATGTCAGTTACACAAAGTAGAGACAGTCAGTTAGTTTGTCGTATACTTTGGGAAGAAATGTAATCTCATTGTCTATTTGGGGCATAAATTCCACAGTTTGGAGGAAATATGTAAAGACCGGATCACTGAAAGTAAACGTAGTTTCTCATTTTTGGATAAAATTGTTTCCCACTTTTGGACAAAATTGTTTCCCATTTTTGGCTAAAATTTTGTATTAAAAACCACCATGAAAATACACGAAAAACTCAAACCCCTTTGTTGGATTGTAGGCGAATGGAGATCTCTAAAGGCTGTTGTAAACTATCCCACCATGAAGTGTCCCATAAATTTTGAAGAAAAATTAAGCTTTACTTCTTTCGGCCAACCACTACTAAATTATAGATCCATAACCTGGAATGCCGAAACTGGTTCACCCATGCAATTAGAAAGTGGATTTTTACACATAGATAAAGATGGGACTTCTATAGCTTTAATTGCGGCACAAAATTTTGGAGTTGCTGTAGTAGAAGAAGGTTTAGTAGTGGGCAATACTATAATTACAAATAGCTCTTGCATAGGACACATGAAATTCGTTAAGCAAAAAATTGTTACTATTCAAAGATGTTATAAACTAAATGAAAATGGACAATTAGATTATTGTGTTATGCTGGAGACTCCACAGACTCCTCTTACACAACATATAGCTGCATGCTATGAAAAATGTACCTGAAATTTTGTTTATACCCTTGATTTACTCCACCCCACCGTTTCTCCAAATCATTTTTCAACTTTAAATTAAATAGGTATGCCGACCCTGAGATCCCAAATAGAGTTGCACATACATTTGCAATATTTTTTTTGTAATCAACTCGAGCAATATTTTTTGAAAATAAATTTTTCTTTAAAGTGAAATCTTTTTAATTTTTAATTTGATATTATAATTCCATTTTTCAAACTGCATATAATGCTGTTAACTTTGAGAAAATGAAATTTGACAAAAAACAAGAAAATTCCTGTTGCTATGATTAAAAAATATTTTGCAAATATACGTGCAACCCCTTTCGAGATTTCAGGGTCAACCCCTCTTTTAATTTTTATTTTTAAATTTCGTTCAAAGTTTTTCACCACGAAAGTTCCCTGTGTGGGACCTAGCAAATCATCACCTAAAAAACAATGGGTCTCTTCATTCTTAAAAAAATATGGTCACTTTCACTTTTGCGAGTCGTCACTGCTTTCAATAATAAGTTTCTTTAGATAATTTTAATGAAAAAAAAATTCAAGATATAGGATACCTATTTTAAAGAAATAACTACAGAAATAATTTGAAAGATGAAACCAATGAAATTTAGGCTGACGATTTACTTAAGTAAAAGTAAAAATGAATTGCATTGGTATACAATATTTAAGGAGATACTACATCACTAAAGACTAAAGACTGCAGAATGTCGACGCCACTGAATATTTTGACTTCCTATAATGAGTAATTTTTACTTAATTTTTTTTCGTTTAAAACTAACTTATTACACAGTTGAAGAAATTAAAAATAATTCTAAAATGCTCATTTCATACAAAAGAATATAGCAATTTATTATTACGGATGTAACTTTATTTATAATGTAATCATTCGGGAAACTTCAGTGGCATATAAAATTGTTCCTTGATAACACTTTTGGTTATACATGAATTGAATATAAAATATTTGCATCAAAATAAAAGTTCTGATTTTTGTTTCTCAAACTAATTGAGTTATTTTTTATTTAGTCGACTATGTAGTAATAAATTTATTTTAGACAAAAAAAAAATACAAAAATTACTTTTTTCAAAATTAAAAGATCTCTTTTGTTTGAAATATGATTGAATTTCAAAATACTCAATGACATTGAAACTGTGTTTTTAATGAAGGTAACTCCCAGATATTTGCATAGACGTGATGAAAAACTTTAATACTCTGTATCTGGAAAATACGCCACTTAGGACATAAGTTTATAGAAACTTAGTGGTCCGTGTTATTATTTAAAATATCATGGTTTTTCAGGTTAATATGCCATGTCCTGCCTACCCGATCGTCGCCTGTTACAGAATTACTTTTCACTTCCTAGCCTTAGCTAGAAATCTTTGACCTGCCCTTGTTGTTCTCGGGCTAGGCTCTGTGGAAGTGGACTCGATATTAGAACCTTTATTGGATCTAAGGCCACTATGGATGAATCCGCTGAGGAGGCAATGGTAATCCTTCAAGATGAGAGAGGCCACTACGTAACGTCTCAAAGGGTCAATATTGCTCTAGGCGTAGATCTGTTGGTAGCGGCTCTAGACCCAATAAGAACCGAAATGATCAGGGCAGGCGTCTAATAGCTTGTCCGCTCCCATACAGCCTAGCCCGAGAACAATAAGGGCAGGCAGAGATTTCTAAGACTAAGGAAGTGAAAGTTAATTCTGTAACTGGCGGCAACTAGGTACACAGGCTACAACCCAAAAAATCATCGTACTTTAAATCATAAGAATTTCTTTCCTTAAAATTATCTGAAGAATTACACAACACTGTATTGTCTGAATGTATTCAAAATCCTCCTTGCATAAGCATGACATCTTATTCGAAATCAACCCTTTAGTGTTTTCTGATTGTTAGTGGTGGATGAACAACTTGAAATTTTTTTTTCAAAAAATATTAAATTTTCAATTTATAAGGAAAAATTAGGAGAATTAATTCAAAATTATAAAATACAATATAATATTACACATTATATTTATTCAAAAAACGTGACAAAAGGCCAGAGGAGTTAAATACATTTAAAAATACACTTGTAATGTCGAAATTGTTAGCACAAATATTCAGTCATGATGTCCAGGAGTCCTACCCAGTATGGCTTGTCCTAAAATAGACAAGGAGGGCACCTACTAGTTAAAATTAATTTAGGTTTCCCTCTGGTTAAAACTCCTTTCGTTTTAGAAGCTTTTTTAAAATTGTAATATTAAGATAAGCAACATATAAATATATTCTTGTGCTTTTTAATAGTACACAACAATATATTTATTTTTTTTATATAAAAATTGACACACTTTACAATAAACAATCTCAAAAACCTACATTAAACATTCAGACATCAAAAATTTGGGACAAATTCATTTAGTTGTATCGAAATCAAATGATAATAAGCAATAAATAAATGTTATTAAGGCACAATCATCCTTTGTACTATCAATTAAAGTACAATGCATAAATGTTACAAAAAATTATCAATTACATTCAACCTTATCGTCAAAAAAGAACACCTTTAAATATTGTAAATGTAGAGTTGCTAAAGTAGTATCTATATGTCAAAGAGTTACTATAAAACACTTATAATTTAGAAACATATTAAATATTCTTAATAGCTAAAATTACATTCAAGAGTTATAAATTCATGCATATAATCTCTTTAGAAGCCATTATTACAAATTTTATAAATCACAGATCTTACATTACAATTCATATGCAAGTAACAGTCAATGAAAAATAATCTAGTCTATTCCAAAATCTACATGCAGTGAATTTTCAACTTCTCCATATTTGTGTAGCAATGATATCACAGTTTGTTACTACTTTATGTGCAGTTCTTATATCAAATATCAATAATATCAAATATGTATACGTGCACAACTATAGGTACTCCAAATATTTAATTTTCTTTGTTTTATTCTGCACCAATTGCTAAACTTAAAACTGTAATGAGAGTGAAATAATAAAAAGAACCTAAGTAATATGTGTCCAGCTGCAAATACTTGAAATAAAAAGAAATTATTGTTATTGCTTAATTCAGTCTAAATTATTATAAAAAATATAAAATTACATAAATAAATTAATTATTGTTCATCTTTAAAGTTTCCATGATACAGATCTATTGAAAAATAAAAATAAATAATAGTAGAAAATGATGACAATTATACATCTAATTGTAAGTATCATCATATGTCTCAGATTTCACCCAGAAAAAATCATAGTTATTAAAAATTGTGATAAAACATCAAACTTGAGTCAATTTTTTTATTAATAATGGCAAAACAACTGAATTTTATATTTTATTTTAATCGGGTATTTCTGACATGCCGAAAAAAACTTATAGAATTTAGAATAAAAATTAGTCAAAGGGTTGATTTTACAAATTTAGTTTCGCCTATTCAGAAATATTACACTAAAAAAGTAGACAAATTTTTAATACTTCTCAATGTGAAATATTTCTGGTTGGGCAAAATTAATTTTATAAAATTAACTCTTCGAGTGATCCTTTTGATATAAAAACGAGTTATTTATTTTAATTTTTTTTTCTGTGTTGGCAACACCCAATTAATGAGATATCTAAATTTTAATACTTCTATTTGTTAGACTTATGACAATTGTGGCAAGCTGCAAAAGTAGTTTTGTTTATGTAATGATAAAAAAATGTTGGGGTGCCTGCAGATACATATATAATAAATTTGTTTTCAACTGCATATGGGCACTGAACACAACTGTCGATATGCTGCAGAAACAAACTCGTTTTATTATATAAAGCCACCCTAACACTATGCCTATGTAACTAATTATCTCAGCCTCATTAATAAAGATAATAAAAATAAACTATTACTTAAAAATTCACATATCCCAATCCATAATGATTACCTATACAAATATATTAATGGAAGGAAACTTCGATGTATCATTCACTAAAATTTGATATAACAAAAAATGTTTTTCTATAACAAAAAAAGAAATTTACAAGCACAAAATAGGTAGGTACATCATTTCAAATTCCAGAACAATTATTATAATAATGTAATCGTTGAATATGAATATTTGTTTTATATAGCAAGTATATAAATGCGAAAATTGCAAAGATTCTACATACAAATCTCATTACAAATATGGAAATAATTAAATACCTATTAAAAATTGGTATAGGATTATAACTAGGTTTCACTATAATCGCCAACGTTAAATACACTCCGATTTATATGGTTATACTGGTATAATACAAAAGTAAAAAGTTAAAAAATATAGGTACATATTTTCACGAGCTTCATTTTCATATATAGGTACCTTTTTGTTTCACATGATTATTTGAAAGAAAAGATGTGTCGGTTCTAAGTATTTATATAAATATTCACTGACACTCTTAATTTCACTTTAATTTAAATAACAGCACACCAATAAAAGAGGTTTAACGTACCACTTCATTTCATTTTGGAAACTAAACCATTAATTTAAATCAATTGCGTCCTACCTAACTATTGGGTGCCGACTCCTATTCTGGTAAGCCAGACTGGAGCACTTTAATGAGCAAAAGTAACAATCAATTGGAACATACATGTCACCAAAAGAACTACTAACACTTTCTGCTATATTTCCTAGTAATAAGTTGTGAGAACTCCTTAGGTATACTTCAAAACAGGCTTTGCCGCATACGCAATATTTGGCATTATCCAAATAATTTACTAATGTTAAAGGTAAATTTCCTGAAAAATATATTAGACGTGCACCAAGCACTTTTCTGGATGCATATTCTTTTAATGTGCAGACTGGCAATGGTTTTGGGAAGACACCAGCTCCATTGGGTATACATTGTTCGAAGTTATTATTTGATATATCTATGGAATGCAGTCTTAATTTTTTTATACTACCAGGAAGAACTACTAAAAAGTTATTGGATGCTGAAAATATTTTTAAATTTCTGAGATTTCCTATGCCAGCTGGTAAAGTTTTAATTAAATTATTGTTTAAATTTAAAGTTGTAAGTTTGTGCAATTTACATATCTGATTGGGAATATAAGTTAGTTCATTATAACTTACATCCAAAAGTAACAAACTCTTCGACAAGTTTCCTCCCATCCAATTCCATTGCTTTGGAGTACTTCTAGCCAAAATGTTGTGAGAAATATTAAATTCTTTTAAGTTTGTGAGATTACTTAAATCTTCAGGTATAAATTCTATCCAATTATTACTTAAATCTAATATTCTCAAATTCACCAAATTTATAATACCCCTATCAATTCCACATCTCTGAATGTCGTTGATATGTAACTCCTCCAAAGTTCTTGGAAATCCTCTTATGGGATAGTCAGAACGTTTTGCTATAACCAATTTTGTTGGAGCAATATCCTTTTGTTTCACTGGTGTTACAGCCATACTGGAATAAGTCAGCTCGTTCTGTGATATTTTATTCTCTAAAGCCCGTTTAAGAATATGTAAAAATCCTTTTAATTGAATTACATCAGACTGAATAAATAAATCGTGTTCAGGTTTGTTAAATTGTATCGTACACTTTCCTTCATGTGCAAATTTTGTTAGCACTTGTTTAACGTTGCCTTTCAAACTGTATTTTGTGCCATTCTTATTCTGTCCAGAAAATAATATAATACAATATTCTTCAGATTTTGGATGTTTACAGAGAGCCAGTGTAGACTTAACGTGTTTTCTAGATCTGCTAACAGCCAATGATGGTAATAATCGATTGCTCACAAAAACGTTACAAACTATTTTCATTATAACTTATTTTAAAATTTCACTATTAAATAATTGTTTTCTTCTTCAGCGTAGTAATAAATAATTGCCGCCATCAGCTGATTTACTACATACATACCATAGAAAATATATAATATAGTACTAACTCTAACCACAGTATACTAATCAATTGTGGGACCGAGGGACTCTCTTTGTCCAGCCATACATCTGTCTGTAGGCATGGGCAGCGTTTGAGATAGCGTACCTAACTTATAAAATCAATGAGTTTGAATCTCTACCCTTTCGTTCCAAATTTTGAATCCAAGATTTCCTCTATTTTAGAGACAGTATTCACAATTTTGTCGAACGTATTCTTATAATTTCCAAAAAATAAATGATTTCCTGTCTAATTGAAACGAAAGGAACAAATGAAACTACAGGGACTTGATTTTTGAAAACAGGAGAACTGATTCTCCAGAGAAAAAATTCACCTGACAAATTTCTCTTAAAAACTTAAACACTTATTTTTGAACGTTGAAGGAATCCAATTCTCTAGAGAATTTAATTTATGCCGTATGTCGAGGATATATTTGCAACTGACCAATCAGCGGGCAGAGTTTTCTTCAATATTTCAGTGCCATTATTGGCGACCCTGATGTTTAGTCACTTGATTTGATTTTGAAGTTTGTTTTGTAAATGTCATTATATTCGTCAGGGAGACTAGACATCTCCATGATATTCGTAGTAATTTAATATAACTTCAATTTGAATAGAAGTATATTTGAAAACACAAAAAATTTAATATTATTATAAATATGATGAAGCGTTCGTTCACGTCGAAAGCGCAAAAAAGAAATAAATATGCTTAGAAACAACGAAGAACTTTTTAAAATGAAAGTTTTCTTCTACTTTCACTCACAAAAAGGCCCAAAAACAGTGGTCAGATATTGCTGAAACTTTAAATGGTTTAATTAATGTTGTCGCAGATGGTTTACAATTTCTGCAGTTTGCAAATTATTCATTATATTTAGAATTAATAATAAATTATTTGGATCCATTACAAATTTCGAATGATTACGCACCTTCGAACAGCGAATGAATGAAGTGACAATTCGCGCATGAGCATGAGATGACATTTGGATTCAAACTATTCAGAGAAAACGCCAATTCCCCCGACAAAACTCTGTGGAATTATTTCTCTTGATATCTAGAGAAAATATTCCACAAGAAAATTTCAAAAATCACATTATCTGTGTGTCAAGAGAAAATGACGTAATTTTCTCTAATGAACTAATTCTCATGTTTTCAAAAATCAAGCCCCAGATATTGTGCCTGATTTTTGCAAAATTGTAAGATATGGTTTATAAGCCTGTCAAAAGTTTAAATATCAAGGCAAAGGGGACCTTTCTTATTTCTATTTTTCGTTTTTTCCTCAACAAATGAAATAGGTATTGTACCTTTTTAATAAGTTTTGTACAACTTTAACTTGTATTATAAATCAAAACCATCAATTTTCTTTTTTAATACACAACACAGCTGTTCTTAGCTTCGAGCATATACCATTGGAGGTCGAGTATTCATTTCCAACCAATCGCGTGCGTGCTAGAGTGAGACAGCATGTCCTGAGATATTGTCTGTCTCTCTCGCACGCTCAGCTACACTTCGCAATGGCATGCTACTTCCAATCCAGTAGTATATAATACTCGAAGGTTCTTAACGAATTTTTATTATCTGGTGGAAACTAATTCGTGGGTATTGGCAACATTTGCTCATCCATAGACGTAATTCGATTTTGTCCTATCACATTACGTGTTGCGTGGTCTATGTCAAATTGTGAAATTATAAATAGGTGTCAAAATAAAGGCAGAAAGAAATAAACATGAATTTTATAATTAGAATATTATTTCCTTTTATGTTGTTATGTGTTTCTCAATACATAAATGCTCAAGCAAGCGCAGAAGATGAATCTGATACCAACAGATACACAATAGAAGGAAGAATATTTCCTCTTTCAGATTACCAATCAAGTCAAGGGTCCTGGCAGGCTAATACGAGAATTCACGTGAACGGAGGTGAATATATAGGATTTGTTCGAAAAGATGGATCTTTCACAGTTCACAATGTGCCAGCTGGATCATATGTGGTGGAAGCTCTTCATCCTGAATATGCATTTGAGCCAGCTCGGGTAGACATCAATCATAAAGGGAAGTACAGGGCAAGAAAGGTCAATCACATAAAAACTACAGAGGTGATTTTTGTACCTTACCCTTTAAAAATGAAAGCTCTGGGTAGAACCAAGTATTTTCAAATTAGAGAACAGTGGAGGATAACAGATCTGCTATTTAATCCAATGGTGATGATGATGGTTCTGCCACTGTTTTTGATCATGGTTTTACCTAAAATGATGAACGATCCAGACACTAAAAGGGAAATGGAACAAATTCAGAGCATGAGTAAGTTCGAGTTGCCAGAGATGTCAGACATGGTGTCAAGTTTCCTTGCTGGTTCATCTCAACCAGAAAAAGCCGATAGAACACAGGGGCCTAATAAGAAAAATCAAAAGTTGAGAAAACGTCTGGATAAATAGAAACAAACTTCAAATTCAAATTTGTTAACTATTCTAATTTTGAGTTCGTATGAAACTAACGTTTCATTGTTTCATATTTAAATATTTATTGTATAGTGTATAGAGATTTATTTGTCAATATAGTTTCATCAATAAATTTTAATTTGTAAATATTTTATGTTTTTTAGTTTTGTAAACTTTATTTGTGGATACATAACTAAATTAGACAAGGTTTTCTAGAAGTTCTTCATTAAACATTTTTTTTTACAACTAATCGCAAGTAGTTTTCATAGTTTTGTTAAATATAAAGTGATGTGATTGACACGTTTCTTCTTAAAAAAATATCTGTATTACATTAATAAAAATATATATTTGTGTAATACCTATTTTTCCTTTTAACACAAACATAATAGAGACGTTGTACCTACATTATATGTATTTAATTTAGAGGCAGAAATATATCTATTTGTTTTTTTAATTGTTAAATATTTATAAACGATTAAGTAATTAAGTTTGGAAAACTATTCATGTTTATGGCTAATTTATTAAATAAAACTGTTTTTATAAACGGTAAACACTGAAATCGATTTAGCGTAATTACAAAATATAAAAGAAAGTTTGTGTTCTATTAAAAGAAAAAATTGTCGATCTTTTTAGTACAAATGGAATAATAAAATATGGAAAAAAATGTTTTTTTGTAAATTTGGAATTTATGTACAAAAACTAACCTCGCGAACCGAGTAATGTCAAACTGTTTTTTGAGGTTAGGTTTGGTTCAAAATAAATTTTAAAAAGGGGATACTTATTAAGTAAAACACCTAACGCGGTTAATATGCAACCAGGTGCAATTCATGAAGCTCTGAACCCGCTTAAATGGATAATGGGGACATGGAGATCAATAAACGCTGAAGGGTCTTTTCCAACAATTGAACCATTTACATTCTGTGAAGAAATTTCCTTTACTTCCGTTGGACAGCCCGTTTTAAATTACAATTCCGTTACTTGGCATCCTACAAAATTAACTCCAATGCATCTAGAAAGTGGTTTTCTTAGGATAAAGCCGGGAACAAACTCAGTTTCTTTCATGGTTGCACATAATTTTGGTCTAACATCTTTGGAAGAGGGTATGTGAAATTGCAACAGACGTAAGAATTAATGTTATTATAAATAAGGAGTACAAGCCCTATAAAAATTATTACGTTTACTTTTAATTTTAATTTTCATTAGGTACTGTAACAGAAAATATTCTGCAAGTAAAAACTAGTCATATTGGAAGAATGCGTTTTGGCAAAGATCCAAAAGTATGTGAAATTGCCAGAAGTTATAAACTCATAGAGGAAGGAAAACTTGAACTAATTTTGTTGATATCGACGGTAAATACCCCACTGGATCAGCATTTAAAGGTACAGTATGAGAAGTGTCTCTCGTAAATGGAAGCACTTTGTACATTTTGAGTTAAACTTTGTGATATATATTAAGATTTTATATATGGTATTGTTCAGGGTGTAATCAAGTTTTAGCCCATTTTGGGGCAAGTTATCTATTATAGTGTTTAATAAAAATACATTTATTAAAAAAAAAACATTTTTATTAAAGCACCACATATTAACTGTTCCGTTTACATGCATAAATTTATTAGAGGTAAAGTAATACTGCTATGGAAATGTAAAACTGATTATAAAAATGGTAAATAATTTATCAAAAATTTGTAAGAAAATCAGTCAAATTTTTGAGATCAATTGATCAAGATCAAATTTCTTAAAAAAAATATTTTTCTAGCTAGAAAAAAATACAATACTAGTATGACAATCACAATGAAAATCAGCAATCTGTGAGGTATGAATACAAAATTATAAAATTATAAAAATGTTTATACTTTAATGTTGATACACTTAATATAGGTGTATGTATGAAGATAACAAATATTTTTAGATTAAAGAAATTTTATTTAAAAAAATATATTTGTCTTAGATTTTGAATGAGTTTTGTTAACGCTAATGTTTTTGATTGATTTAAAATATTTGTTTTCTAGTACTGATGATCAAAATTCTATTCGAGTTTATTATTGGTAGTCTATGTACAGTGCATCCTATTTTTGACGATCCTTCATCTTATAGATTTTTTAGAGTACAATTTGGTGGTGTATTTAATTTTTTAATAACTAACGGTTTTTAATTTAGACTAAAACAATTTTTTTTATGGAAATCATATTCAGTCACATGTATATGTATTTACTTTTAGTCATGGCCAACCTTATCTTTTTTTTTTTGATGTAGCAAAAGAAGAAACGGCTGTAGCTCTTGGATAGCCCAGAATCCTCTTTTTATCTAGACCATGGCCAACTATGGTTCCTATTAAAAACAAAAATATAATTTTGATCTGTAAATCAAAGACTGTTAGAGCTATTAAAAAAATTAAATACGCAAATGTCAACTTTTCTGATAACTGTAGCCGCTATACCTCAACTATTTTAATTTTTTGGCTATAATTCTTAAAACTAAAATAACATAAAAAATATGTTTCTCTGAAGATTTCTCTTAAAAAAGTGGTCAATGTTCGTGAAAGATGTGGTATCTATTTCTAATGCCCTAATATGACAACGAAAATGAAGCATAGTAGGTACAAAAACTGATTATTGATATGTTAGAAGTTATTTTTAAATAGAATCGGTAGAACAAAGAAAGGTATATTTAGTGATTTGAAAATTAGTCATTGTACAAGTGTTATTAAACAAACATGGTGGTGTATTGAAATTTTGCATTTTTTCAAACTTGTATTTTCAGATGGAACTCCTCCTGTTCGTTAACATATAATACTATGTCTAAGAAAAAAGATAATATCTATTTTAATATTTTTTTACTATTAGTAAATTACGCAAAATATATGAAATATTATACAGTATACAGGGCTGGAAAATCCACATGGTCCATCTGCCTTTACATTAGAGCAACAAAGTAAAATAAAGAAATCCGTGCGATAGACAAGGATGGCTATAGTGAAGACGTTTCATAATCTGAATAATCACTGCCCGTTTCGGGTTGGAAGTGGGAGTGACCATTCAGATTATGAACCGTCTTCAATGTAACCATCCTTGTCTATCACACGGATTTCTATGACTTACTTTATCACTCTCAGGTAACGGCCGATGTACAGGGTGATTCACTATATTTTAACCCCCCCTTTAACTTTTTTGTTTTAAGAGTTATAAAAAAATGTGAAATATAAAAATTGCATGAAATTTTATGAATTTTTTGAAAATGATAGCAGAAACACAAATGAAGACCAAACAAAATGGCCGCAGATGTTAACTTTGTTAAGTTAAATGGAACATCCTGTATATTTTTAAATATTTAGATAGAACGTTCCCTGTCGAGTATAGTCATGTAGGGTTTGTTGGGTCCATCTCTAACAATAAGCAAGATACTATTAAAAAACGAGAAGAAGGTTTTTGATTAAGAAAATAAGACAGTTAAACCTTTTTCAGGCATTTCCGCATTTTTCCAATTACGTAAGGATTTACAGATTTAGTTATAATATATTTTGACATATCGGACATATATGGTCAAAAATGCGTATAAATATTTTATCTAAATCCCACTAATTAGGCCGTGAGAGGCCTAATTACTAATAGACAATATTATATGGTAGGCCGTGATAGTGACAGGTAATGTCATGACAGCATCGTTATTGTTTGACAGTTTGTATTATTATTTAATTAAAATGGGTTACACAGAAGTAGAAAATTGAAATATTATAGGAATTAAAATAGAGCAAAGTTCTTCTCCATACTCTATTTTAATTCTAATTCTAAATTAATTTTCTACTTCTGTGTAACTGTCAATCAATAACAATGTGGTCAAGACATTACTACCTGTCACTGTCACGACCTACCATATAATGTCCATGCGTAATTAGACCTCTGACAGCCTAATTAGTGAGATTTCGTTACATTACCTATACGCATTTTGGACCGTATGAATGTCCGATATATCAAAATATATTATAACTAAATCTGTAAATCCTTACGTAATTGGAAAAAGGCAGAAATGCCTGAAAGGGGTCTAACAATTATAAAATGTCATATTTTCTTAATAAAAAACCTTCTCTTCGTGTTTTAATAGTATCTCGCTTATTGTTAGAGATGGACCCAACAAACCCTACATGACTATGCTCGACAGGGAACGTTCTATCAAATTATGTAAAAATATACAGGGTGTTCCATTTAATTTAACAAAGTTAACATCCGTGGCCATTTTGTTTGGACTTCATTTGTTTTTCTAATATCATTTTCGAAAAATTCATAAAAAATCGTGCAACTTTTATATTTCACATTTTTTTATAACTCTTAAACAAAAAAGTTAAAGGGGGGTCAAAATATAGTGAGTCACCCTGTACCATGGAGACTTTCCGAACCTGTTTATACACTGTCGTGAAATGAAAAACACTTTCTATTTGTAAATACAGGAGAAAATATTAATTTATAATATATCCCAGTTGCTCTTAGACTCTTTAAAAATGTTACTTTTTTTCTTAATTTCATGTGCAGTCAAATTTTCTTGAAGAAAAATTAATAAATAAACTACGTTATTTCTTTAAATATGAAAAAGATATTGATTGGCCCCATCACTAAAGCCTTGGCCTTGTAGGCAGCAATGAGACTGCCAGAATCTAATACAACGAATTTATGCAAGCATTCCGTGTGACAACTGACACAATGTTCGCTGTTTAACAAAACACTTCAATGAAATCAGTGTATTAAATTCTGACAAGAATCGCTGGTATTCCTAGCTGCCTTCAAAACCAAGTCTTAAGAAATGACTAATAAATTCTTGCAAACTTGCGAATAAAAAGTTCTATATGAAAATGTTACAATTTGTTCTATTTATATAAATCAGAAATTTGTTCTTCTCATTTGTTACATTTTTAACAAATATGCATTTATTTTGCTTTCTGCTGGAGATATGCTTCAAGTTCCATCTTAAACATATGATTTTTCAACTGCTACTTATTCATTTTTTATTTAATAATTAACAGTCTGACCACAAGTAATAAATATATTTCATAAAGACAAATATTGGAATTTACTGTTACCAATTAATATACAGTACAGTTAAGGTTAAAAATAAGTTGTCAATTCCGTAAATCTTTCCCACTTTATGTAAGACCCGAAATAGGCGAATGTCGCATTTTCCATGCCAAATTGAAACAAAAACTTATAAATTTTTTGTTTTACTACGGTTGTGTGTAAATATACGTATGGGCTGTTATACATGAATGCGTGTACTGAAATAAAAAAAGTTCATACAAAATTATCTTCTTCTAACGTTTTCTAATTTAGTAAATATGTGTATTTGCATTAAAATCTTTGAAAATAATGATGTGAAAGATACTAGATTTCTATTTTTATCAGTTCTTGACCGGTGTTAGTGATATACATTTTGGTGAAATAAATATTAATATATTATGTTTATACAGGGCTGGAAAATCCACATGATCCATCTGCCTTTACGTGAGAGCGACAAAGTAAAGTAAAGAAATCCGTGCGATAGACAAGGATGGCTATAGTGAAGAAGTTTCATAATCTGAATAGTCACCGCCTGTTTCGGGTTAGAAGTGGGAGTGACTATACAGATTATGAAACGTCTTCACTATAGCCATCCTTGTCTATCGCACGGATTTCTATGACTTACTTTATCGCTCTCACGTAACGGCCGATGTATCATGGGGACTTTCCGAACCTGTATATACATAAATGTAGAGAAATTCATTATATGAACCTTGGAAAGATAGGTGGTACAAAGTTGGTTAATATAAAAAAAGTTGTGCAATGACAAGAGCTCCCGAACTATAACTTTAGTTTTCTTGTAACTTTGAAAACTTTTTTTTTTAACAATTGTAATGTAAATATTGGAAGATTTAAATTTTCAAATATTAAATAAATTAACATCTTGCATCGATTGGTGCTTTCTAAATTTTCTAGAATTTGGTTGATGATATTCAAATTTTTCCTTACATATTCAATTTTAACATTTTTATATGCCCTTTTTATTCTCTTTACAGAGGTGTATCAGTTTGTAGTTAATATAAAAATTTTTTAGTCACATCTGAATAAAAACACAATTTTCATAGTTGGCTATGGCCAAAGCTACAACAAACATGTATCTGTGTATTAGAAAATTTGTTCTAATAAAAGTGATCATATTAGAGATTAAAAATTGTGACTCACTCTAGGTAAGTTAAAAATGCAGTATACAGGATGTCCCAGAATATGTGGGCAATCTTTCGGATTTATAAAGGAGACGTTAAAATAACATGACCAGTTCCTATAAAAATTTTCTCTAGAGGGCCCCCTTACGGAGATACAGACCCCTAATGGAGGCCCTTGAAAATAATTTTTTTTTTTTGATAACTTAAAATACCTTGTGTAATTTAATTATTTTTTAATACACAATAGGTAAGATATGCATAGAAAGAATGCAAATTTCATTGTTTATTTTTCTTTATGAATATAATAAAAATCATATTAAACAAAAATAGTTTTTTCTCAAAAACAGCTCATTTTATCGATATCAATAGTGCCTTTTTTAATATGTTCAAGCTATCTAAAAATATTATTCTTGTGCCTTTATCATAAAGGGTGTAAAAAAATTGACATTATTGTGCTACAGCTAGTCCATCCCTGGCCACAACCAAATAAACCAAATTATTTTCATGGGTCAATTTTTAAGGAGTCTTATAACGGATAAGACCATCATATTAAATAATAATTAAATTACACAAAGAATATTGTTATTAAATTTTTTTTTTATGGGCAATCTTTAGGGAACACCCTGTATAAAATAACTAATTTCAGTCATTGTGATTGCCCCTGCATTGACGTGATAAATTTGGCAATATTATTGTGCGTCCTGAAAAGTTTATTTAATAATATTTTTGTATATTTTTCTAATACTGTTTTATTTTCATTAGTTTCCAAAGGACGTTTGTGATTAAATTCCAGTGGTTCCCAAAATTTTTCAAATTAATTTCATTTACTTCAAAGAAATTTTTCATTATTAATAAAAATAGCACTTGTAAATATCGAAGAAAGAAAACACGATTCTGATGTTAAATCTATCAGAAGCATTTAGTAATTATGTACCTATTATAGATATTAAATTTATGTACATCTTTTTACAGGGTGTTTTTGGATAGGTATAAAACTATACAAGCCATTAATATAAATTAAAAAGAAAGTGAAGAATAGATACTCTTTGTTAGGTAAACGAATTGTATTCGTGATTTTTTAATCGAAGTCTAATAACAAATTCTACAATGCCTGAAAATTTTTTCCGACTGTTAAAATTTATTTTGAAAGAGAAAGTATAAATCGCCAAGTGGCTATGGGATATTATGAAAGGTATACAATTACATATTTCGGAGAAAAAAATTGTATAAAAAAAAATCGTAGCAGCATACAATTTACAATTTTGAAGGCATTACAATTTGTATATTTCTGAGGTATATTTATCAATATATTTGAGTTCCATTCGTTCTTTACTGTGTTAATGATTAGTACAGCCCATGAAGAACTAGGTCATCTCCCTTTTTTTTTTGGAATACATGGGATGATTTAAATTAATTTTTTTTATACATAGTCTGAAAATACTTGAATGAGCTACGAAGTTCCAGTTGTTAAATACATTTTAAACAAAGTTATAATATTTTAAGATCAATAGAAAGTTGTGTAATTTAATTTATCTAAAGAAAGAGTAACTGCAAAAAACCTGTGATTTTCGCCCGTTTTTTCACAATTCGCAAAAAATACATAAAAATATGTTTTTGGTCGCAAATTACTTGTAAAAAATTGAAATGAGCATAGCTTTTAGTATTTTGAAAATTTAAAAAAATCACCCCTACTTAGGGGTTGAAAAAATGCCAAAAATGAAGAATTTGATTATTACCAATTGATATAAAAACTATTAGCATGTGAATTATCTTAATATATTTTTTTTTGGAATTTTTACAATTATTTCAGATATTCTCTATTTTTGGGGATGATTCCACCCCCTGAGCGCGCTTAAGGCTGGATTTTCTAATTCAACATGCTTATTTCAGCCATGAGAATAAATCTTTCTTTGTATCAAGAATTAGTCGATAGAAAAATTCACATGCTAATAGTTTTTATATTTATTGGTAATATTAAATCTTCATTTTGGGCGTCTTTTCAACCTCTAAATAGGGGAAATTTTCGAAAAATTTTCAAAAAACTAAAAGCTATGCTCACCTTAATTTTTTACGAGTAATTTGAGTCCAAAAACATATTTTTATCTATTTTCTTTAGTTCTCTGCGAATTGTGAAAAAACGGAAGATTTTTGCGGTCACTCTTTGTATCTTATTTAATGTGTAAAATTATGCTTAATCTGCACCAGTCCACAGTAGGCATAGCTCCAGATCAGCATTCGGCAACTGGGGAACGCCGTCCAGGTCCGGACCGCAGAAGCCAAAATACTGGACCACCAAAAATTTTTTGAAAATATAAATTACCCAAATATATTATTTAAAAAATATTTTTCTATAGGTCACAATACGTTTGAGTGCCACGATTATCATTTTTTCTAGCATTTTACAATCGTGTGACAGTTCTTAATGGTTAGTAGGCAGATTAAATTTGTGAGTGCAAATTAAAATAAAAAATTATTAGGAATATGAGTTGTTCTTCTGGATCTCATTAAAAATTTTAAAAAGTGTCGGACCCCACCTAAAATTACTTGCCGACCCTTGCTCTAGATATTTCATACAGTTCATATCCCTGCATTTGAAGAAAGGTGTACCATTCTAGAACATTTATCCTTGTGCAACTTTTTTGTAATTTAACTAACTTTGTACCTCTTACCGTTTCTAAGGTTCCGATTGTAAGCACCTTTGACACGTTCTGTACATTTTCTCTACATTTCACTGCTTCAATATATTTTATTTTTAGAAAAAAGTTCTCTTGGATTTTCGAGCAGTTAATTATATTGAGAAAACAATATGTAGTATTGTATTGTATTGTAGTGTGTATGTATGTATTTGTTTATTAAAATCACAAGTTACAATTTTTTTTTATTTATTCAGATTTCTTCAATTAACTCTTATTAAATTAGCATTCATATTTTAACAATCTGCATATTCAAAATTATCTGAAAATGTAGATAAGAATTTTTTTGGTTACAAGGGAATCAATACTGTCATATACCAATATGATTTTTTTTTTAAGGAAACAGTATAACAGTATTACATAACTATTTATATTTCGATGAATAAAAATTTTAGTGTGCCGCGGACATGTCTTGAAAAGTGGACATGTCCTGAGGACACTTTTCAAGACTGAAAAGTTGTATGCGCATGCGCGGAATTATTTGTTGCATTCATAATTCCCGCAAAAATTTTTTGAGGTTGGTACATGTAAAATTAAAGATATTTAGCCATTTTCTTGTAATTTTGTTGGTAATCGTTTAACTGAAACTGGCATTTTAAAAATATAACTTCTTTTATATGTCAATATTTTATTATTTTTGGCAAAGTTAACGATTGATAGTAATCAGTTTTCCAAAAAGTGCCCATCTCTAAAGAATTTAATTAAACAAGGTTAAAGAAAACAATGACATGCTTTCGGGAATAATAAACGGAAAAATTCGAAATAAAAAGAGATAGCCATTTTGACCATCCCTCCCCGCAAAAAAAAAAAAACAATGGGATACGTTAACTGTAGTGTATACGATTTCGGTATATCGCGTCAAGAAGCATATAAAATAAATGATAAGGGAACGTCTCAAAGATACTAGCGGTTTAAACTATAAATAAATAAACTGTAAATAATTAACCTAGAACATCGTCAAATTCATGTACACATGCAACTTCAAATGATTAAATATATAAAATATCTTAACAACAACATTAACAATAAAAAGGCAAGAAGCGAAGATATGATTCATCCCTTTTACAATCACACACTTTCTCACATCGACAATGCCATAAAACGGCGCCGGTAGTTCAGTGCCAGTAAAAATGTACAAAAGCTACAACTAGACAGTTCTTGAGCAGAAAGCTTACGTTTTTAATTGGTAGTATTTGTACTAAATTGATTTTAAGGTAATAATTTTGAGCCGACACGTTTAAGAGATATGTCAAATAATGATATACCCCAAAATAATGGGTTTGAATTGCAAAGTCTTGAAATCGCATCTTACAAAATTTATTAATGAAAATTGAGAAATACAGGGTGTCCCAATGTTCAGTGTAATTGAAGTAGCGCATATTTGAAGGCATCAAAAATTTCTAGGTGTTTTCCAAACAACTTCAAAATGCGTTTTTTGATTTAAATGAAATTTGGTATAGTAACACTTGTGTATTGATGTGACGTTTTGAAATAGTAATCAAAGTAACAGTGTTTACAGATATAGGAAAAATACTCACTTACTTATATAAGGCCTTTTGATAGTGCTTTTAGAGTTAAATTTCTAACGATTTTCATGAAACAGCATTCAAATACAAAAAGTATCTGAATTTCATAGAGCATTATTCTCTTTTAAATAAGTATGTCGATAATTAATTGTGACAAAACTCTTAGCAGAAAAAACCCTCTATGTATATCTACAGGGTGTGGCGCCAAAATCCGGACAAAATTCAATTTGAAATTCCCGCCATTCTATATCACATGTAGAGGTCGCGATTTGCATCAAAATAACGTGAAGCATGTACTAAACAGTCATAACCTCAAAATAGTCTCAATGTTGAAACCTAGTGTAGAGTATAACGGAAGAGCTGCGATTGTCGAAAGTGTTCGCGGGTTCTTCAGGTATCCGTCCAACGAAGGTTCTGCGACACCGGCTTGGAAAACTCAGTTGAAAGAACACGTCAAGCGCCAGACGTCATTCAACGGGCTCAGGAGCAGATTCTTGAGGATTCAGGGTAGTCGATCCGAAAATTGTCTTCAGTTGTCAGTGTGAGTGAAAAAACGATGTGTTGAATCGTCGAGGAGGAAGTGATACAGATGCTTTCCGCAGCCGCCAGGACAAAGCGAGTTGAATGCTGCAACCTGCTTTTGTGTTCCTTAAGAAACAGTGCTGTTGGAAGAATCAGGTTCTTTCTACATAAACATTTTTTGTCGATGCAAAAATTAATCGAAGGAATGACCGCTGGCTCGTGCACGACCCTGAAGATGTCCCCATTGCAGAACGAAATTTCCAGCAACTGTTCATGTAGCAAACGTAGTGATGACGTAGGGACCGTGCGCCCGCTCCCAGCAGCCCAGATATAAATCCTTTGGACTTCTGTATATGAAGAAGTATATGAAGTTGAAAGGGTCACCAGGTCCAGACATTCCAAACGTCGCATCATAAAAAGCCGCTATTGAAGCGGCATTCGCCGATATGAATTGTGAAGCATTAGAGTGTGCTTGCAAACGCTTCAGACTGAGTTTGGAGTTATTCAAGCAAGTGAGGGTTATATTGAATAAATATGTTCTGAATGATCCTACAATTTTGTAAAAAAAAATTGTAAACCTTTTCGTTTCTGCAATAAAAAATATGGAAAAAAATGTTTAATTTGTCCGGATTTTGGCGCTGCACCCTGTATACCTAAAAAATTACTTTAGTTGCCTTGTCGTAAAGTGACACCAGCAACAAGTATTAGCTTACTAAATTTCATTTAAATAATACAGATAGATCATTTTAAAGTTATTTGTAAAAAAAAATATTTTTATTTTGACAAATTTCGCACCCCCTAAACGCAACAACGTTGGATACAAGTAAGCTTACTTCAACCACCTAATTTTGATATAGTTCAGAGGCATACTGTATATTTTTAAAAAGGAAAATTTTATTTTTCCAACAAATTATTTTCATTTCGTCGTGCTCGAGCAATTTGTGCTTTTAGTTTAATGTTGTATGGAAAATTCCAATCTAAATTTCGAAATTGAAAATTTTAAGAGGCACATTTAAAATTGTTCCCGTATGGGTAATACCAATTGTTAAATTTTGCAAAATGTAATATCACAACATTAAATATTTATAACACAAGCCCCGTTATGTCTCTATATGTAGATATGTTAATTTCAGAGGAAACAACTTACTATAACAATGATACATCAAAAAACAAAGCACTTTTCAAAAGGCTTAAGTCCTTTTGCCGTTCATACTTATGTAATAGCTCTCGACAAGCTTATTCTTTAAATTGATAACCGGTGACATTGGCATGTACATATTCTCTGTGATGGACTGTTTTCTGGGTTTCTCCAAAGTCTTACTTGGACTCATCACCACGTATTCGGAATCTGCATTGAATATTTGCGATATTTTCGACAAGTCTTTTGCCGGTAGTGTGTTGCACCGGTGTTTAAATGGAGAGAATATCACTGAATTGAAAAAGGTGGAATGCTGCTTTTCCTCCCTAAAAATAAAGAGAACGATACGGTTTCACTTGTAATAAGGGTTATGTGGAAACTTACGTGTCAGGTGAAAATTCTAATCTTCTTGGTGGTAAAGGTGGTGGCTTAAAATATTCGCTGCTTTTAATATCAAGTATTACTTCTAGTGGGTTTTCATAAATGTGACTTGTATATTTGGTGTCTTTGTTTTTTGGTGACTTTTTTGGTTCGTCGGGGATTTCTTCATATATACCGGATGCTAGGGATATTCCTGATTTATTTCTCGGCAACAAACACCTGTTTTGATTAAAATTCGATATCAGTGATAATTATACTTATTATTACTATACAGTGGTGGTCGATGAAGATTAAAGTGGTCACATTATGAAAATGAATCTGAGACTTATCCCGTTTTTTTGGTGGGGGAATGATTTCTAGTCCCAGAGATGTTTTATCAATTTTATGAAAAGTTTTTCAATGAAATTTACAAAATTAAAAATGAAAATTGGGATTGCTGACCCTCAGATCTCGAAAAGGGTTGCACATACAGGGTGTCCCGTTCATGTTTCAAAAAAAATTGTGTGCAAGTTCCTCATGGGAAAATAAGGGGGGTAGTTCATGTAACATTTTTTTCTTAGACGCCCTGTTTTTGATAAACAGTGTGTTGAAGTTGTTACTTTCCAAATGGTTTTCCTTATTTATATTTAAATCAGCTAAAGATAAACATATCATAATTTGTACATGAGTAAACATCAACTGTGCGTTAAGAATAATGTGCAAACGGTTTCTTTCTGAAAAGTAGTGTCATCGTTACAGGTAATTGAAGGAGTACAATCGAAGAAAAAAATATGTTAAAAGTAAAAATTTATTACATTTCTAAACGGTTCTGTAAACTCTAAAGGATACTACAAAAAAAAAGGTATACTTGTCGAAATTCGGTAGCATATACCATTTTCGAGAAAAATGAAGTTGCATTTTTTTTGCTCACATAAAGCGGCACAAGTATATTAACAAAATATTAATTTGAAAGAGGACCTTACCATTGAATGAGCTGAAGACATTTAGCTACCAACAGTATTTGCATTTAAGACTATAATTTTAATTTCTTACGTATCACATGAAACAGTTAAATTGTAAAACATTTTATTAATTAAAAAAAAAATTAAATTTGTTTTAAGTTTTAGTTTGTTGTAAACTAACATTTAAAAAAGTAAATCAAAATAAACAGATTATGGTAATTAATTATCTATTATTAACTAATTTTAGATTTTGTTAACAACTACACTACCATTACTAAAACAAACAATTGTTGAATGGACTGAATTGTTGATGGACATGAATGCTTAAAAAGTGATAAAAACGATGAACGTGAACGAAACGAAAAACGAATGAAAAATATTAGGAAACAGACTCGGAGAAATGCTTAACAAAACAGTTGCACAATTACATAAATGGGCAAACTCGAAATTCTACACTAGATACTGAAATTGTATATGCAACTTCATTTTTCTCGAAAATGGTAGGTGCTACCGAATTTCGACAAGTATACCGTTTTTTGTAGTATGCTTTAGAGTTTACAGAAATGTTTAGAAATGTAATAAATTTTGACTTTTAACATATTTTTTTTTCGATTGTATCCCTTCAATTACCTGTATCGGCGACACTGCTTTTCAGAAAGAAACCGTTTGCACATTATTCATAATGCACAGTTGATGTTTACTCGTGTACAAATTTTGACATTTTCATCTTTAGCCGATTTAAAGATAATTAAGGAAAACCATTTGGAAAGTAACAACTTCAACACACTGTACCTCGAAAACAGGGCATCTAAGAAAAAATTTTTTATTAGAGCTACCTCTATTATTTTCCCATGAGGAATTTGCACACAAGTTTTTTTGAAACATGAATGGGACACCCTGTATAGTGTCTCAGTACATGAAACTACAACTACTACCAGGGAAATTTCATAAAAGTCCACCTAAAATAACAAGTAGAATCCAAAATTGCAATAATATATAGGGTGTTCCATTTAAAATAAGCAAGTTGATGGCGACTTCCGGTATAAAAGGAAATGGTACGTGGACGCCATTATTTTAGATGAGAAGGGCATGCCCGAAAACCCGGTATCTCAAATTTTCAAAATTCAAATTGAAGTAGTCTCTGAAATAATTCTAATGGGCTGTCACCGTGAGACACCTTGTATATATGCATTTGTTCCCATTTATACTTAAAAAAAATTTGGAGCATTTTACATTGTTCAAAGTACACCAAAAATGTTATACAAACATCTGAATTTATTGAAAACGGTCTAGGAATTAAGGCTTCTAATAGTTTAGAGATCAATAATTTTAATTTTTTAAAAAGGCATAAAGTAAGAATTAAAGACAAAGTAATGATAGTTACCCCCTAAAACTACGTGTAGTGCAGTATTTGATAAATACTGTATCAATTAGCTTCCAGATACCTTATGTGCGAGTTTAAAAAATATGCAAAAAAAGGATTTTAAAGATATCACAGAAAGTATATTTCCGTCCTGAAAATATAAGGCAATTCCAGGCCACTTTATTTTTGTTTCATAAAAATAAATTTAAATTACTTACCTAGCTTCCTCATCAATATCTGTCAGCTCCCTTGATGAATCCTCTGTCTCACTACCTCCTGGGGTTTTTGTAATGAGTGCCATTCCAATATTTTGCGCACATGGAATGTTCTATAAAATTGAACAATTTTAAATTACTATAGGTCCTTCCCCTTTTTTATTTACTGTTTCTTTGCAATTTCTCAAAATGATGATATACTCCATTGAGAGACTTACATTTTCTTATTTTAATTTTAAGGAATTGTGTTTAAGGTGGCCATATTCCCGGCCGAGAAATAGTGAAATTTCTGGCGTTTTTAGGTACTGAAATCTTTGAAAGTAAAACGTGTAGAACAAAAGTAAGCACAAAAATAAAATCCTTGATGTTTTGTTTATTCATTGTTACCATTTATATTTACTCAAATAAAATAATAACTAAAAAAAAGCGTTTGTAAAACATGCGTTTGCTGTTATTCTAACCCCACATTTTAAGAATTATTTTCACGTACTTATAAATAAAAGTAAACAATTTTATATGTAAGACTAAGCAAGTAAATATTATAAGAATATTTACATGTGGAATTATATATAAAAAAGTTAGTATTTTCGAAGATTTCAGTACCTAAAACCTTGATGGTTTGATCGTTTTTTGCACCTGTTTATTCGTTTTACTGCGGCGTCTTTGAAAATAACCAGATGGCATGACATAACATTCCTATTATTTGATAAGCTTTAGATTATTCAGTTATTAAATGTTTGAAATTATTTGTCTTTGCGGAAAACACTATTTAAAGAATATGGGGCCCTTAAATAGATAGATAATTCAGTAGTGACTTTCTCTGCCGTCTAGGTGGCATTGCAAACAATGGCCCAGGGTATCAGCAAGTTGTTTTAGTGCAAATATATAATGCACTGAAAAATCTAACACAAATGTCTCGCACTATTGACAAATCGTAATCTAGAATTCTTTGTGTATCGAAATCATAATCAACTGTAGGTACTTGTTTGTTACTACAGTAACATAGTTCTGATGTGAAAACTTTTACAATCTATGCCATCACAGATTTTGTATCTCTTAATTCGAATAAGATTATAAAATATACAAAATTACAAAATATGTTTTAAATATTTTAAGTAGGTAATTTATTTGATATAAATTATATAAAAAAATAAGAAATGAATCTATATACAAATTGTTTTAAATAGTGGAATAATATCCATATCAGGGTGTTCAGTTACTAATCGGCAAAATGCCACACTTAGATTCTATGATAAAAATTAAGAGGGATCGTTCCAATAAAATGTTATCAAAAAAAATACTTCATTTCTGGGATACTGGGTGTTTAAGCTAAAAAACTTAATATTATTTTTAGGCATATCTTGAATAGCTGTCAGGTAAACTAAAGTACATTTTTTTTTATAAAAAAAATAAATGTTAACGTCACTGTTTAAAGCAGAAAGAAACATATACTAATACTTCATTCAATACCTTAGAAAAGAAACATTTTTCGATAAAACTTTATTTGAACTATCCTCCTCATTTTTCACTGTAGGATCTATTGGCGAAGTTTGGCAGAACTAGTAACAGAATATTCTATATCTGTACGTCCGAGCTAAACTGTATTAACTCCACTTTTTTACAAAAAACAGAATTAACTCCATCTATTTTCAAGAAAAATAAACATAGGTGTTGATCAAACCTGTTTCAATAAAACTAGTATGTATAGACTCAAGTTTAACCATCTGACAAAAAACAATAAAAGCGCTATGTACAATTAACTGAGATTAAATTTTATAAACAGCTCTCCTGTCTAAATGGGAGTTAATACAGTTTAGCTCTGAGGTACTGATATATTTATAACTATAATGAGCTAACCTTTGAGTTGCTTAAAGCATATCCCGAGTCATCAGATGATTCAGACACTCTCACTCCGGAATCTTCGCTGCCAGTTTGACTTCGAAAACACAACGGACTATCAGGACCGCAAGAATTAAGTTTAGGACAGTAAAGGTCGCTTTCGCTGCGACTCAGTCTTTTTGATGCAATAATACCTGGTAATTTTTTTGAAAGTTTGCCTCTAGCAATCAAGTGGTGAAGAAGTTTCGGTCCTTCCTTGCAATATAAGTACAGATGTCCAGGACCAGAAGGAAATTCTCTGTAATTAAATAGAAATTATGTACCAAGAAATTATTTAAACTTTAATGAATTTTGCTTACCCACTTGAATGCATTACAATAATTTTTTTATCATCAACTGGTTGAACAGGGGCTTGAAGGTGGAATTGATGGAACTGAAACCATTTCCATCTAACTTTTAATTCACCTGTACAAGGATCGCTAACCATTACTCCTTGGGTGTTCACGCCCAGAACTCCAAATAAACCAATAAGTCCAGCCATTCTCGAATGATTGTTGTCAATCAAAGATACTCGAAAATTTGAATCGCCAACTAGAAAATTTTCATACATTAGTATTGCTAATTGCTCTTTTATTTCTCGATAATATCCATCAATTTTGACTCCAGTATGCGGCGCATGAACTAGATGTTGTCCAGAAATTTTAAAAAAGAGTAACAGTGTAAGCCTGCAAGTCAGGACTGTTCAGAGCATACATGATTACAAGCCACATGACTGCCCAGCTTAAGCAACTAAAAATTCCTAAATCCTAGCACCATCACTATTAATGATTCATTTACAATGAACAATGACAAACCATTACGTCTATGCTCGATATATTGCGAACGCTGATTGGTTGAATATCAATCACCAGCCAGATTTAATAATTTTTAATTTTATGGAAACTTGATTGCCAATGTGAAGAAAATAAAATTACTGTTTCAAACAAAATTACTGGTCAAGTGGTTTGTAATCATTTATGAAGGCTCTGTATGTAGGTTTGGAGCCTCCAGTCTAAAAGTGTAAATGCAAAATATGAAGGTTTTGGAGTGGCATAAGAAATTTTCACAAAGTTGAAATTCCGCATGATGCACTTCTTCAGTTGTCAGTAAACAATGTTTATGTCTAAGACAGTTTCTATTGATTTGAAATGTTTTCAAAAATAAATCCAAGTCCTTCAATAGCTTGTTGTTCTATGTTTATACAAATACCTACTTTAACATATTGGTTATTCATAGTCTTTGGGAAATAATAATGTTAGAATACCAAAGATTTGGCTTGTGAATATCCTGACTAGCACAGAATTTTTTTAAAGTTCGTTGTAAAAAGAATCCCTTGATTTTTTTTCAGTATGAAGTCTATTTGCCTATTTACAAACATTACTTTTACAGAAATGTACTAATTTTCAATGTAATATTTTTCAAATTTTTGTTTTTATAATTGTTACTTTGGAAAACTCGTACACAAGGATATTTTCAAAATTTTAGTAGAAACTATCGACAAAATCACGCCTCTGGATTATCTTGCTAGTGAATATCAGATACCTATATACATTTGGCGTTTGTTACTGGGGAGTAATCTACAGAATTGGGGAAAAAACTATCAATTTAAATGGGCCTAATACTGTTACTTGAACAACTATTAATTTTATTACCGGGTATATATGATGCGATACTGAGCATCCTTCTAATTGAAGACATCCATTCCTGTGAATCACTTTCTGAGGAGCCCGACATAAACATAATTGGTTTCTTAGTTCTTCCCAAATTAAATACTCCAAAAGAATACTGTTTTGTTCGAGATTCTGTCCTGCAAATTGTAGAAGATCTTGGTAAAATTACACAATTTAGAACCGAGCCTTCTTTGTCAGACTTTAATTTTAACTCAACACCATTTTCAATTGTGTCCAAACGTCTAATCTCACACCACTGCTTTTGCCATGCCTAAAAGAAAAAATTATTATAAAACATACATTTTATGAGCAAATGTTCATATCTAATAAAATAAATAGTTCAATAGAGCAACATTCGCTTGTATCATAATAATAGAGATTATTATTGATATATAAACAATAACCATGTTTTTTGTGTAAAAAAAATCAAATTTAACTTACTTTCCACGGCGTGAGACCTCGTCTAGATTTTGACGATATTTTTACATCTAAATAACCACTTATTATGTCATTCATTGACATTTTAGATTTTAATAATTGACCCGCGTTTTGATAAAATAAATAAACCCCTCCCAGTTTGTCATTAATCGACTGTTGTAGTTGTTGTTGCCAGTTGTCACTAACCGGAAATTTAAAAAATAAAACCCCCATCTAGTTCCAAAATTTTCAACGTACCAATATTACCATATTTTAGCGGCCAATTCAAATTTCATTGGGTGCTTTCTATTCTGCGTTTTTGTAAAGTTAACCGACATTAATGTGATTTCTATCATTGAAATAATAATAATAACACATATAATAATGACCGTGCAATGTGATAAATAATAGAGTTTAGATAGTAATTAATCACTTAGCCCGATAGAGCTGGACATTATTCATAATGCTCGCACATTATTAATAATGCCCGCATTAATCACCTGGTCCATAACACATACAATATCATACCTGATAGCGCCGCGCGCCATGCAAAAAGTTGGTGTCTAGGTCTTTTGTGTTTGTCGGTCACGTCGGGTACGTAGTCAACGGCTTGCCTGAGGAGGGGATTGTCATGTCTAGCGGCTACGTCAAACCGTTCCTCCGCGTTTTGTCTTATTGTCTGTGTAACGTTTGTGTATTGTAAGTCTCGTAATA